CGATTTTTGTTTTTCATTTTTTTTTAAATCTTAAACGAGGTCGGATTCCAAAATAAAAAATATAGGATTGTAGGGTTTTGCAAGCCCTACAACCCTATATTTTTATTTTTATTTTTACGTATTTTTAGGGGTATTAAAAAAAATATTAAAAACCAGGCCGCGGACAAGGCCTCATCGACCGCGGACAAGGCCTCATTGGCCGTGGCCACGACTGACTTTTTCGGCCGCAGCGGCCGAATTGCCCGCGGCCTAGGCCGCGGGTGTCACGTAGGTCAAGTGTGTTTGTGACCAGCCCTTCGGGCGGGACATTGGCACTGGCGAGACACGGTACCGGTGTCTCCAGTGTCGTTGCGAGGCCACACTAGCCGTTGGCAGGGCACAAACGTTGTTCTGGAAGCGGCAGGGGCCGGATGGCCGTTGGTGGTCATTCGAATTCAAAATGTGCAGATTGGCAGCGATGTCCCTACCAACGGCCAGTCCATGGCATTCTCGGAATGAGAGGGCAAAAAACAACGCTCCCTCGGCGGTGGCCGATCCATGTAAATGCCCACACTTGTCCCAGACGTGTTGTTGTTTTCACCACTGCCTCGTGTTGTGCTTGTCTTCATCACGCCTCACGTGTGTGCATGGCAGACCTCCTCACGAAGACTGCTCTATTGGCAATCCTCCTTGTCGCTTTGCTGATTGTCATTCTGGTGTTGTTCAGGCACAGCCGGGCCCGTCCGCGGAAGAAGCCAACGAAGAAGGACGACGGAGGACGCAGGTCGAGGAAGTGGATGGGCGACGATAATCTCCCTGCCAGGCACATGTATGGGATGGCGGGGGGGGGCTACCAACCGGGTTCCCGACGGAATGCGTCACCAATTCGACCCCTCGTTGTACGCCCATCTGCCTCCTTACATGCAGCCCTTGCCAGATGATGAGGAATGGGTGCCGCCCCCTTCAACCCTCCCTCTCGCATGGGGTCAACACAGACCTCGTTTGAGTCCGGGGGCAGATCAGGTGATCATGGCACTGAGATGGGTCCGATGTCCACCCTCTTGACGAGAGCGCGGGGAGCAGGGGGGGATCCTTTGCAACTGCACTTGTCGCCGACGTGCACAATGGATGCGTCAAGAACCGTTCTCATGGAGTATAACAGTCGTTCACAGGGTTGGGTGTTCTTGACAATGTTGAACGCCCAAGAAGAGGGACTTCATATGCAGCGGCCGCCGAGGTCATCCCCTGCATGCACGAGCAGCCTGTGTCGTCCCCCGTACGTCGTACGGGGGGTCCCCGTACGGACTGTACGGACGGATGGACGGACGCACGTACGAGCGTACGGACGAAAGCCGTCCGATGGTGTTTTTGGGGCAAAAAAAAATCAAAATATATATATATATGGGGTTGTAGATCTCGAAAAGATCTACAACCCCATACATATCGTCACAAACAAAACTGCTCGGTAAAACCGTAGGCTGAGAGAGAGAAGAGGACAACAAACGAGGGGCTGTGACAAACTGTTTCGTCGGAGTTTCACCGACTCATTAGGAGGCTGAACCCT